AAGTCACTTGTTTTTATTATTTTGTTTATAATTTTCTCTTTTTCTGATATTATATTAATTATTAATTCTTCTGCTATACTTATTTTTACATGTTATTGGATACTGTATATTAATATCATTTCATCCTATTCAATTTCAACTTGGTAAAAACGAGAAATATACCAAAAAAATTCCATCTCATCAATTTTTTTTGTTACACTCAAGTTTTTGTTTGTATTTAGCGTAAAATTCCTAGTTAACTTAAAATTTAGTATTTTTTTTGTTTTTTTTTGTTTTTTGTGTTTTTTTTGTTTTTAAATGGTCTTAAAATGAAGACTTCTCACATTAATTCTATCAATTATAGCTGGACTTTGTAGTAAATAAATAAAAATGTTAATGGCTGAAGAGATAGTGGTAGAGGGAGGTGGGTTAAGTAGTTTTAGCATTAGGAGAAAGGTTGCATGATCATATAGAAACAGGTTAAAAGTTGATAGTGAGTAATAATATTGGTGAGGTTGAGCATATTTTGACATGTTATTTGGGATACTAGGAATAAATATAAACAACCTAATGTTGGATTAGATCATGTTTCAACAAGCTAAATAAGTTGAGTATCTCGCTGGCCATCTAATGCCACACTCAGTTTATATCCAGCATTCGAATGCTACTGTGCTTGTATTTTATTTCTGAAATATGGCTCGCAGAAGTTGTGTAATTTCTCCCAACAGCTTCTGTTATGTTTGTGGTGAATACATAGTGAAAAGTCAACAAAGAAACATTAGTGAGTTTATGAAAAAAGTTTAATTTGAGTCTTTTAAATTGAAACTTGGAAATCAAGACAAAGCAGATTTTTGGAAACAATGGGAGAAAAGGAAAAAGAAGCATGGGACTCTTTCAAGAATGTAGTCCATAAGTTTTAGGGGAATACTAAGGACTCTGATTACAAAACCATTGTACAATGCATGCTGGCAGCAGCGTATGAAGCTCAAGGATGCAAGATGAGTTTAAAAGTTCATTTCTTACACTCCCATATTGACTATTTTCCCAAAAACTTGGGAGCCTACAATGAAGAACAGGGTGAAAGATTTCACCAGGATGTCAGTGATATCGAGAGACGTTACCAAGAAAAATGGCATGTCAATATGTTAGCTGACTACTGTTGGATGTTCAATCGAGAAACCAGAGAAAGAAATCGGAAACGAGTTTGGAGAAGCATCAAAAAGAAGAAGAAAAGGTTTCATAAGAAAAAAGAGTAGACCTAAAATTGTGTATAAATATCAGAAACAATTTGTTGATTAGTTGTAAGAAAATATAATACAGTATATTTAGTTCATTGTAATAAATAAGAGTTTTTATCAAAAATTTGTTTCTATTTTGCAAAAAACCTTTACGTGATAGGATGTAACGGAAGTTATTTTTAGAATCTGTGATCTTTAAAACATATAATTCAGCAAAAATATTCCATGCAGCTGGAAAAAATTTTTTTTTGCAGACCTGTGTGTTACTGTCACTTTATCTGTACTTTTAATTTCATATACAGATAAAGTGATAGTACAAATTGCAAATTCATAGACAATATATATGGTAATCATGATGTTGTCCAAGGCTATCTGGGTGCAGATATTACAAAATTACCATACTTCAAATTCACTCTCCACTTTTGCTGTGGCTACAAGTAGCTTTACAATATTTTAAAGCTATTGCAAAGAATTATAAAAGTAATTATTGGTATTAAAAAATTCCTCAAATTTCATTTGAATGCAGCTAGCTTATTCTATATAAAATACCAATTTCTCAATAATAAAAATAGGATGCTATCATGAGGGAGGTGGTCTCCCACCACTTCTTTTTCTATTTCTTTGGTTAAATTGTGGGCTTCTAATAGAGAAACTAAAGTAAATTTCATATTTTATTTATTGTTTTGAACATTTTTTTTAGTTATTATAAAAAATATATTAAGAATTTAATCTTTGTAGATAATACAAAAATGTTGTGATTAATTTGAAATTAAGTTTCTAAAATATATTTATAAAGATTGTCAAAATTTCTAACATATTTGTACAAGAAAGTATTTTTTCTCAAAGAAACTCATAAGTTGGCTATGGACTAATTTCAAAACATTTGTCCTGAATAAATACATTTTTATCATCCAGGTATTTAAGTGTTACTTTTAATTCTATTTGAAATTTGTAAGTAAATATTTTTTTTAATATAGGTGAGATTGGAACAAATAGGAAAAGCCTATAAATGTGTATTAGAAATAATAGATGTTGAAAATAAAGATGGAGGAAAATATAAAATTACTGCAAAAAATGACCTTGGTGAAGCTAATTCAACAATCAATCTTAATTTGGATAGTAAGTTAATATAATTCTGGTTACAGAATTTAAATATTTTTAGATTATTTTAACTTTTATTAATTAATAACCTGACATATTTATATTTGAGTTTTATTTAAGAATAAAATTTAAATTTAATCTTTTTTTTATTAGCGGAAGAAGATGAAGAAGAGGAAGATGAAGGAAAACCTGCATTCTTGGGAAAACCAGTTATAAAGCAGTCTAATGATTTCAAAGATATATCATTTGTTTGCAAATTAACTGCAGATCCAAAACCAGTTATGCAATGGTAGGCAATTTATTTTGTACTTAAAAACATAATTATTTAATTTTATATAGTTAAATCAAAACATAATTGTTTAGAAAATGTTTCAAGTATTGTCAATATTATAATTTTTCAGATTAGCATAATGGTTAATTTTTCCCATTTTTTCTAAATTATACTTATTTAACTTATTTAAATAGTATTAATAGTAGTAAAAATATTTACCGTAAATAAAATAAAGTTATTAAATGATATAAATAGTTCTTATAATCTTACTATTAAATTGAAAAAAAAAACAAATATTAAATTCGTCTTACTTTCAAATAATAATTTAATGTTCATTGTTTGAGTATAATGGCAGTTTGAATTGAAAGTTTGAGCACAACAGTGATCTAACACTGTTTTTTCGAAAGTTGAGATATTGTATTTTAAAAGTGTTATTTGCNTAATCTTTGTAGATAATACAAAAATGTTGTGATTAATTTGAAATTAAGTTTCTAAAATATATTTATAAAGATTGTCAAAATTTCTAACATATTTGTACAAGAAAGTATTTTTTCTCAAAGAAACTCATAAGTTGGCTATGGACTAATTTCAAAACATTTGTCCTGAATAAATACATTTTTATCATCCAGGTATTTAAGTGTTACTTTTAATTCTATTTGAAATTTGTAAGTAAATATTTTTTTTAATATAGGTGAGATTGGAACAAATAGGAAAAGCCTATAAATGTGTATTAGAAATAATAGATGTTGAAAATAAAGATGGAGGAAAATATAAAATTACTGCAAAAAATGACCTTGGTGAAGCTAATTCAACAATCAATCTTAATTTGGATAGTAAGTTAATATAATTCTGGTTACAGAATTTAAATATTTTTAGATTATTTTAACTTTTATTAATTAATAACCTGACATATTTATATTTGAGTTTTATTTAAGAATAAAATTTAAATTTAATCTTTTTTTTATTAGCGGAAGAAGATGAAGAAGAGGAAGATGAAGGAAAACCTGCATTCTTGGGAAAACCAGTTATAAAGCAGTCTAATGATTTCAAAGATATATCATTTGTTTGCAAATTAACTGCAGATCCAAAACCAGTTATGCAATGGTAGGCAATTTATTTTGTACTTAAAAACATAATTATTTAATTTTATATAGTTAAATCAAAACATAATTGTTTAGAAAATGTTTCAAGTATTGTCAATATTATAATTTTTCAGATTAGCATAATGGTTAATTTTTCCCATTTTTTCTAAATTATACTTATTTAACTTATTTAAATAGTATTAATAGTAGTAAAAATATTTACCGTAAATAAAATAAAGTTATTAAATGATATAAATAGTTCTTATAATCTTACTATTAAATTGAAAAAAAAAACAAATATTAAATTCGTCTTACTTTCAAATAATAATTTAATGTTCATTGTTTGAGTATAATGGCAGTTTGAATTGAAAGTTTGAGCACAACAGTGATCTAACACTGTTTTTTCGAAAGTTGAGATATTGTATTTTAAAAGTGTTATTTGCTTTTTTACATGTTTCACAGTAAATTATTATTTATATAATTTATTATATTTGTTTTGTTTTCATCAATACTTACATGGAACCCTAGTAATTTTTCATTGTATTTAGAGGCAGTATACGTAATACATGAAAGTACATGCTAATTCAGTTTCAACATAAAGAGTTAGACCATTGTTGTGCTCAGTCTTTCAATTTATAATTAAACATAAGCCTCTATTTTTCATTATTTTTAATAAAATTTAAATAATTCAGAGTAGTTAGATTTCTAAAGAATTTTTCAATATAAAATTTAAATAAATATAAATATTATTTTGAAAAACATATTATGGTATTGGAAGTAGTTTTATATCTAAAAATATATTATTAAAATAACATTCTGATCCCTCTAAGATAGGATATTTATTTTATAGTGTATTTGGAATAATAAATATTGATGGTGTTAAGTCAACTGTTTATGTATGAAAAAAAAAAACAGCTTTAATATTTTTTTTTTTTATTTTCTGTACAAGAATTTGTTATAATAAATTTTAAAATAAAATAAGTTGCTAATTTATCTTGTTCTCTATTACAAGATTTAAATGTTCAATGCAATTAAATTGGAAAAGAAATGTTATTACTTGATCAATTTGCTTCATTTGTTATGAACTGATTACTGTTTTACTTTTCTTTTATTCATGAACTTAATAACATCAAACTAATCCCATAACAACTAGATGATTTTTTTTCTTTTTTCTGTTTAAGACTCATCAATTCAAAATGATTTCTTTTGAATTTACATATGCTATTTTCTTTTATTCAGATTTTATAGTGAATAATATGGTTCAGAATATTTATTATAATAAAATAACTTTATAAATAAACTATGTTGTCCACAATATTCTTTAAAATGAAAAATTGGTATGATAAATAACTTTACTATATCATTATTTAAAATCCATTGATCTTTATATATTAAATTTTTTATGAATTTTATATTTTCTGTACTGAAATAATCTATTTAATGTATTTTGTTTAAATTTTTTAAATCAAAATTATTTTATTTATTACATAAATAATATAAGAACAACTTCTAAGAATAAAATAAAAATAAATCAATTTTTTTTTTCATAGTTTT